TACAAAAAAAAAGATACTATCTTTCCCAAAGTAGCTATAGTAGTAACAAAAAATAAAATAACAATATAAAACATGATAAAAAATAAAAATAAAAAATCAAGAACCATGCAACAAAACTAATTAACTATATCCTCAACTTCTCTTCTCCCTCATCTTTTTTCCTTCCTTGAACCTTCTCAACACTCCTTCCATGGCTACATCGAACGCATCCTTAAAACCCTCGACCGAAAAAGACGTATCGGTCATCGAATACACCATTCTCGGCAAAAACCCGACTATCGTCTCCCTCATTCTCCTCACCTCCTCTCGACTATACCCTTCCAAAACCCTCCTTATAACCGACGAGTCATTCCTCACGGCCCGCCGGTCGATAAAAACTGAGTAACTCGACGCATTCTCCGGCAAGTGCCACTCGTATTGACTCTCGAAACTTTCCCTCCAAAAATAAACCGGTATCGACCCCGCAAGCATGCAATCGAACATCGACCTCCTAGTTGACCCGTCCCCTTTCGGTTGCAGACAAAAATCAGAGCCCAAGAATGCCTCCATTATAGTCGGGACCCCATCGTCACATTTTGTCTTGCTAGTCGCGCAATCGACCAATCGACATTTCCCATGTTCTTCTCCCCTGCAGTAGTCGATTAACAACCCTCGAAAATCGTTCTTAATTTTCCTCCGAGCTGCCCCCACGAAGGTGAATAGGCTCGCGCGCTCCTTCTCGCGAACGAACCCTTGCCACCAGTCCACGTCTGACCGGGTCCTCGGGTGGAACCCGGTCGGGTACGGCACGCTAACCTCAAGCGGGTCCCACGGGCTCCGCTCGACCAAGAGTCGGAGCACGTTTCTCATCGGCCGCATTAGGCTCAACTTTGTGCCCCAATCGTCGTCGTTCTCCGTGAGGCGCCGGAAGTCCCACGTGAGTCGGCCGAGCATGATGAAGTGGTCCGTCCCGTTGGACCTCCGGAAGGGTTCGCGGGTCGTGACCCAGTCGAGCATCCGGAGCGCATGCGCGTCGCGTTGCGCAGTTGTGTAGTTGGCGAAGAGATATCGGCTGACGGCAAGGCCGGCGTAGAAGGGGATGTAGAAAGCGGAAGCCTCGTTTGGGTCGGGTGTGGTGCATGGGGAGTCGAGGAGTCGGGAGTGGTAGATGAGCTCGCCGGAGTACATGTCGGTCCACCGCCACGCGGGGAGGAGGTCCGGTGGGACGAGGGTTCGAAGGGAGTCGGCCGGTGGGCCAAAGCCGAAGTGGGAGAAGGCGGAGCATCGGTTTGACCACGGGTCGAGGTTGGCACAGTCGTCGAGGAAGGCTCGGTTGAGGGAGGCCGGGAGGTCGTATACGTGGATTTTGCCGAGGGGGCACGAAGGATCGTCAGTTGTTGAAGAGGAGGAGAAATTTCGGAGGAAGTTAAAGAAAAGGAATTGAAGAAAGGCGGTGAAAACGAGCCAACTACAAAGGCGGAGGGAGATTTGGAGTTGGAGTTTTGCCGGTTTCTTGGCTGTGAGGTGGTGGCGGCCGGTGGTGACGGGAGGCGGCGAAGGGGTGGTGGTGATGGTGGGAAGCATGGGTAGTGTGATATGAGGGGATCGAAATGGAGGGGACTAATTAAGCTTAAGCAAACTTGGTGGATCTTGCAACATTTCTCTAAGAATCTTTATAGTTCATTTTGCACATGAGATGAGATTGGGTTTTCATTAATTGGAGACATTTGATGGGGATTAAATAGTCAAATAGTATCGAAAAATTGTGCAATACTAATATTAAATATTAGTGAGTTGTGAAGTTTTCAACTCTAATAAGGACAACTGAAATTTTTCAAAATCGTAATATTGCTCTCCGCGATTAGTTATATTAATTGGTGCTACTTTCATTAATGTACTCGGTAGGAGAGGCATGGAAACAAGTGTAGTGAAATTATTGGTTGATAAATATTAATATATATAAAAAAAAAAAAGCAATAGGTTGTAAAGTACGAAAAAATACATACATTATATTACATGTTGCAAAAAATATTTTACCTTACTTAACTAGTAGTATAATATTCGTGTACTGCACGGGTGTTGAGTTAAAAAACGTATTATAAAAGTTATTGTTAAATAAAATTTTATTTAAAAATTTTGATGGATTAATTAAATAAAATAGAAAAGAGGAATAGACAGCGTGGGAAGTGATTTGTAAATTGTAAATTATGAGAGAAATATGAGAGAAAATTATAAGATGATAAGATTGATGCTTGCGCAAAATTAATAATGAAATTTGTAATAAGAGAAAAAAATTAACAAAACCAAATGTACACTTACCAAGTTTGAAAAAAGTTATTTACGTGTATATCAAGTCTGATTTCAAAGCAAAAAATTAATATACAAACAACATTTCGAAACATAGATTTTTGTCATGTACAGCATCCAAAGTGTGTGAGTCTGCCACTTAGATTCAATACGTTTTGAATTAATACATAGCGAGAGATTGTCCAGTATATATTGCAATCATCTGTAAAAACACAAATGTGTATGGTCAAGATTTAAGAAAGATTGCATATGTGAAGAACACTAATCTTGAACACTAAACGAATTATAAGTTACGAAGTCCAAAAACGTGTCTTATCCCGATTTATTATTATGTCTAATAGAATTAATTAGTGTTTTCTTTAGGGTGTCTCCAATGGTTAGCTATTTGGCTAGCTATTATGACGTGGACAGGGGAAAAGTAAGAGAGAGAGTAGTCACTAGCTACTAACAAATAGCTTATCTATTTCACGTAGCCCAATATTATGTGAGAGGAGTATGTGGGTCCAATAGTGTAAAATAATTATTTTTCTTATCTCTCACATCCATGTCAGCTGACTATATAGCTAGTAATAGCTATTACCATTGGAGATGCCCTTAGACTTTGATGTTACTATTAGTTTTATATTATCAACACGCGGAGTCCAATACAAACATTTTATCGAGTCATGATTGTTTTTTTATGGAGTCATCCACTACTTAATGTATTGACACATGTCTAAAGTGTATTTATTGTAGGACACGTGTCAATACCCTATTGGTGAATAAGTGTAGATGACTCCATAAGTCGAGTCATCTGATGACTCCATAAGAAAACCATTCACTACTTAATGTATTGACACATGTCCATAATGTATTTAATGTAGGACACATGTCAATACACTACTGGTGAATAAGTGTAGATGACTCCATAAGTCGAGCCATCTAATGACTCCATAAGAAAACCATCCACTACTTAATGTATTGACACGTGTCCAAAGTGTATTTATTGTAGGACACGTGTTAATACACTATTGGTGAATAATTGTGGATGGCTCCATAAGTCGAGTCATTCGATGTTATTTAATGTTATCTAAAACTGGAGTCCAATATTATTTAATGTTAATCATTTTCTTCCTTAAAATAAAGTCAGTTTTCACATGCACATGCTAAGTGATAAATAGACTTTGGGTAAAGTCTAGTTTGAATATCACTTGGTGAAAACGGAAGAATATGATTTTGAAAAGGTGCAGTTTGGTACTTTCTTGAAGCTAGCTGAGCTTATAAAAAATTAGTAAAAAATGTTAAAAAAGAAAAAATTACACTATATAATTTTTATTTTTTTTTCAAACGATAATAATCTCATAACAAATAGAAAATCACATCATTCAGGTGGCCTAGACCAAGCAGCAAACACCAACAAAGCACTAGAGGCATAGACAACGCTATGAGACATAAAGCACCACGAAACTAAATCAAACAAAACAACGGCCCTAACATAAAAACTAGAAAACGACCCCCAACTGAGTAATAACAACTCCCAACTGAGTAATGTGACAATATATAATTCACATGACAAAAAAGTCTGTGCACATTGTTTAAATATAAGTTTACCAAATTAAATTGATTAAAATATAAGTTTACAAAAATTACCAATGACAAACAAGAAACCGTTTAAATTGATTACCATATTAGGAATGGGCTTGGGCTGTGTAATATATTGGGCTGGACATTGTTGTGGGGAATGGATACGACTACGTCTCAGAAGACTGCGTTTATAAAATAGGAAACAAAGGTGGCCCGCTATTACTTTTGGGCCGGTTTTGTGCTTGGATATCCATTCAAAATCATCAAATCCAATTATTTTTCATTCATTCATTTTAAATTTCACTAGTACGTACCTCGTGTGATGCACGAAACAAAGATATTAAATGAGTTATATTTATAGAGTTATTTTCACAGGCTCTGTCCATTTAAGTCTAAAAGCAATAGGTTATCATATATTTTTCATCTCTATTTTAATCAATATTAATTCGAAAAAACGATAAGGTTACAATCTATATTAATTCGAAAAAATAATAAAGTTATAATCTATTTTTTACTTTTAATCAACGTTGTTCTTTTGCCATAACATTAAATATGGGCACGTGAAGGCTAGCTTGTAAATTAATTAATATATTATTTCAATAACACATTTATACTAATATAAAATTGATTTTAGTATATATATATTTATTCCTTGATTAAAAGAAAATAACAGTTTTATTTATTATTGTTCATCGTATAATACTTCATATTATTATTTATTATAAACTTTGATCTCATAAATATCATTATTATTTAAAACGTTATAGAAGTTGTACGTCTTTTTTTTCTTTTTATTAGAATTTAAAATATGTTGTAATATTTATATTGACCAAAATATTATCAACATGAACCACAGAAAACCAATTTTGTAATTTATTATAATGGATATCAATGAAATTATTGCAGATATTAATAAAACTATTTAAAGAACAATATTTTTTATCATATCTTATTTGATTTTATATCAAAGCATTTATATGGAAACAATTAATGCATATATTTAAAACAAAATTAAAAAAAAATATGCAATAAATGTTCCCAAAAATTTTGACTATTGTTTTTGGTAAATGACAATTCTTATTATTATTATTATTTTTATACACACACACACACACACACATATATATATATATATATATATTTATAGGGGAGAGTTCTAATAAGAACTACCTCTAGTGTAAGAACTAGAACCAATCCTAGCCTTCAAATTCATAATTATTAACGTTTGAGATTATGTTTAGTATATTAAGAATTTAACTAAAGCTAACTAATAAGTAAAGGTAGGGACAAACTAGGAAAGTGGAATCTCTTCTTTTATTGCAATTCTTATTTTATGGAAATTAAATCTCTTTCTTTTTTTTTTTTTTTTTTGCAATCCTGATTTTGGCCAGCAAAATTTTATACGGAACTATGAAAAATTGTTGTGCACATTTTATTATATGATGATGCTAATTTCAAATACATCTGACACTAGTTTTAACAATATATACCATGAAGTTGAAATACATCTACACATTTTATTATCAAATGTTAGTATGTCTCTATTATTGACAATTGTTAGTGAAAATGTGTGTCCAGTATATGTCCAACTCATCAAAGTAACATTAGTGAACTTAATGCTATCAATTATTCATATATAATGCTATTACTATACCAATTATTAGTGCTAGTTACATTAAAGGTTTGTAATGTTGATAACAACCAGTTAGTCTTAATATGAATTTGATGCTATCAAATGTTCAATTTGTTGCTATTATTTGCAACTTTTTGTGCTAGCTATTGAATTTCAGAGTAACTAACAATCTATTAGACTTTTAATATGTTTTTGATGCTATCAAATGATCATATTCTTGCTACTATGATACCTTTTAAGTGGTAATATTATATGATATAATATTATGTATTTAATATATCCTTCTATTTTCATTAACATATAATAAAGATTGTTTACAACCAGAAAAGGTGTCGATCGATAAATAAACCATTAAATATTTTTTGGTGTAATTAAAAATAAATTATTTTATAGAAGTTTAAGAAATTATTGGATATGCATACATGGTATCTAAATATAATGACCACATTTTGACCAAAAAAAAAAAAACACTAGTATATAATTTTATGTATTAAAAAATAAAGATATATTTGAAAAAACCAATTCTTAAACACCATCGAAACTGGCCAATGGTGATTCCATGGGTGATGTGCATGATTAACCTATAAATAAATTATTTTCTTTGTTAATCACAAATATATTATAAAAAAGTTTTGAAAGGGAAAAAGAAAAAAAAAAAGAATAACATAGATAGATAAACAAACAACTCGAGAAAATAATGAAGAATAAAAGAAAGTCAAAGTCGAAGAGTTCATATACCTTCAAGAGAACTACCAAATGTTTTAACAAATTAACTTGACATATATAGTATCATCTCCATAAATGTGAATATTTAAGCAAATATACTATTATATTGCTTTCAGTCCAATCCGTTAATTTATTGATTCGATGGTTATGATTGGTTTCTTGTTCTTACACTAGGAGTGAGTTCTCATTTGAACCACATCCTCTATATAGAGAGAGAGAGAGAGATAAAGAGAGATTTAATTTCTATAAAGAGTAATAATTATTCTTCATGTAATATATGAGAGCAATAAAATAGTGGTTGATAGTTATAAGCATGTGGATGTGGTGGATCAAACCTTATAGATAACTATTTAGTAATTATTGATTTTCAAATTTAAAATTATACTAAGAATAGCGAGTGGAGGAAAAGAACAATGTGATAAAATAATGGAGATGATTATGTATTATATGATTTACAAATCAATTTTTCATTTTGTTTCCCCATTTTCACTCCAACCCAAACCCCATATGAAAAATATTATTTTTCAACACATAATTAAATAAAATATTAAAAAGGTTACAAGTATTAATTACTTATAAACATCACCAAGTAAGAAATGCAATTACATATCATATATATACCTTGCCAACACAAACAAGTAATGCTTTGACAGTGGACACTGCAATACCTTGCTTTGATTTGGGTCATAAAATGGAGGAATATTGATAAGACTTTTTAGGTACAATGATTAAAAGTCCTTAAGTCACTCAATTTCTTTTATTATTATTATTATTATTATTATTATTATTATTATTATTATTATTATTATTATTGTTATTATTATTATGTAAATAATTGTTTCAAATATCCATTACTTCATGTCTACAATTTTTAGATACTTTTTATCATATTTCATTAATCAATTTTCAAAGTAAATAACCTATATTTCACATCCCATTTTACATCAAATTTTTAAATATATAATGTTGGAAAATTATTTATAAAAAAAAAATGGCTGAAATTCTCAAATGAGAAATTGTGTAAACATTTTGGCATCCCATGTGCAACTCTCATAAGTTTTGCATGGTGAGGCCAATATATATACCTTACTTGCAACTTGCAAAAATAAAGGCTTGTTGCTTTATTATTATTGCCAAAAACAGCTGTATTACCACTATGTGGAAATTTCTATTGGGACCCATTGTTTGATCCCAAAACTTAACCTATTTTGTTGACAAAAATAAATGAGAAACAATTCATTCATTTTGGATAGATATACTTTCAAATTGAAATATTATACATAAATAAAATTATGTTATTTTATATTATAAGTATGCATTCATATTACAAAGAGCGACGAGAGTTAATTTGTCCCTGATCAGAGCTCCTTTTCCAAAATTTTATTGCACAAGTGTTTTATTTCATTAAATGAATAACACGTGTCCTTAAATAACACATGCATGTTCATACACAAAAGCACGACATTTTACAATATAAATATACATCCATATTATGAAGAGTACGACGAATTGGTCTGTCTATAATCAAAGCTATTGTTCCAAAACTTTATTTACAATTCATGTTTCACTCTGTTAGTTGAATGACACGTGAATAATGCCGCAATCATACACGAATAATTCATCTGATTGCATAAAGCAATAATTGAAATATGATTTGAAAAACATAAAAAACTTTTCTCAATCTATTAGACATATACAAGAATTTCTGGAATTGATTAATTATATATTAAATCCAACAAATGATAGACCAATCATTTGTTGCTTTCATTGCTGTCAATAATAAACAACAATTGGACTTATAATATAGTATAGTAGTGTACGTATGATCTTCTGTCGGTGGCCTTTGTAACCTTCATTAAAATTTAAATCAGGTACACATTATATTATAATAACAATAATAATCCTCAATCAAAAATACTACCAAACTCCAATTGAAAATTAAAACAAGACAGTAATTTGGTGGGCCAATTTTAGGGTCAACCAAATTTGTCCACCGACACTCATAATTTATTGCCATCACCTAAACTATATTATTTCATTTCAATAACTCGTGATAATAAATTGATTTAAATCCAATAATAATTATGGCATTTTCCAAATTTCGTAATGTATATGTTTATTACAACCAATAATAATTATAATAAAAAAAAGCGGAGATCTAAAATTAAATATAATAATCACAATTTCCAAATTTGTGAAAATCCAAACAGCCACACTTTTTCATCCGCACACAAAAATAAAATAATATAAAATAAATAAATAAAATCAAAAATACCACGCGAAAATTGCCACCAAACTGAACCACGCCGCCCCCAAACCGCCTCCAACACCTCTACCTCCATCGTTGCTCGAACCTTCCTCATCCGCCGCCGCCTCATCGTCTCCGGCAGGCCCAGGGCTGTCCGCATCTTCGTCATCGTTGGATGACGCCCTGGACCTTGCCGCCCTCGGCGCCGCCGCCGGGTCCGCCTTGAAAAGCTCCCTCGGCAGCAAAACCCTGTCGACCTTGAACACCGCCAGCGGCTCCTCGTCGATGAGCGTCCCCTTGATTGTCGCCGTCACCACCTTCGTCTCCAGCTTCACGTCCTCCCCGTCGTTCTGCACCGTGAAGTCGTACTTGTTCTTCCCCTCCGTCGCCAGCGTGTTCATCACGCCGTTGCTCGACCTTAGCATCCCCAGCGAGTTGTACACCGGCACGCCGTGGTACAGCAGGAGAGACGTCTTCCCGTCGCCGCTGAGGTTCCTGTACCGCGGCCCGAACGACCGGAGGGCCTCGTCGGAGGGGCAAAAGACGGTGAGCCCTGCGGCGACGCTCTGTGAGAAGGTCCCCCCGGCGCCCTCCGCAGTTATCAGATCTGAGAACGCCTTGCACCCCTGCCTCGCCATTAGAGATGTCAGGTTCAGATCTGACGGCGAGGAGACCGGAGCCTCCGCCTCCGGCGAGGTGAGGACGTGGCTGATTTGGATGACGGAGATGTTGTACGGAAGCTCCTCGACGGATTTGACGAAGGTCGCCATCGGGGGGGCAGCGCCGCCGTCGATGGATGAGTCGTCGACGGGGGAGAAGCCGACCTTCCCGCCTTTGATGTCGGTGATGTTGACGTACCCGGAGGTTCCGGCGGCCTCGCCGGTGGCCTGGAAGAGGGAGGAGGTGGTGGTGGAGCCCTTTGAGATCTGGTGGAGCTTCTTAGAGCCGAAGTAGTCGGCGAAGATGTGGAGGGAGAGGATGTTCTTGATGGTGGGGAGGGGGTAGTGGTGGCCGAGGAGGTCGGACATGGCGGCGTTGTCGACGGCGCAGACGGTGATGGTGCGGCGGCGATTGATCTCGGCGGCGAGGTGGGTGGCAGTGAGGTAGTGATTGAAGGTGGAGAGGTCGGGGTGCTTGGCGAGGATACGGGTGATGTTGTGGGCGTGGACGGTGGTGACGGCGAGGAGGAGAAGGACGGCGAAGGCGGTGGAGATTTTAGTGAGCTGCTCCATGTTTTTTGTCCACTACTAAAACGAGTGAGGATTATGAGTGCTGTTTAATTTGCGTGTGTAGTGGTGTGTGTACTTATGTGTGTGAGCGAGGATATGTATATATATAATATACGGATAAATGACCAACAATTTTTGTTTGTATATTCTTTTATACATACATTAATTTACAACACTCAATATTAATAATAATAATAATAGGGTAGTTAAAAAAAAAAAAACTTAAAACCAAATTGCTTTCTCAAAACCACATCCTAATGCCTATTTTAATTTTATTTTGTGATTGACACTTATATAATTGTGACATAATCATTGTTTTCACTTTAAGGATTCATATGCATATAATATAATTATGACGTAATCATAGTTTCCAAATTTAACAAATGGTTTCTAATCCTTAGATCAACTATTCTCGACGGTTACATGATGATCTAATAGTTAAAAGTCTCGATGGAATAGTTGAGAACTAGCATTTCCTTTAATTTTATCTCGTTTTAGTTGGGACTTGTGAGGGAAGCGTCAAGTGTTGCATATTTGGTGATATCACTACCCTATAGTAACACATCATACATAATGAACTAATTAACTATATTTTAATTTAAAGGGATTTAGTTCAAAGTGTAAAAGATAATAATAATTTTGTAAATATATTACGAAATATATATTTTTATTACTTTAAACTAAATATAGCTTAAAATGTAAAAATATATATACTTAAATATATATTAATTTATATATAACATTTTAAATATATTACTTTAAAATTGAGGGATGGGTCAAGACAGTGTCTTGGACCCTAACGTGCCCCATTTAATAAACGGGCCGGACCTGAATATGATCAGTTTTAAAATGGGGCGGGTCCAACCCCGTCCTAAAAGCTGTAGGTCCTACTAGGTCGCTTTGGGGCTCGGTCACATGAAGCTTCTAAATGATTAGTCCCTTACGTTTGTTTACACCAACAAGTTAGAAAGCCCAGGCCCAAAAGCCATTGAGTTTGCAAATACAATACAATACACTATACAATACTCGTGTATCACACGGGTACTTGTTAAAAATTATTTTTCAATTTTAATATTAATGAAAAATATTATATTAAATTTTATTTTATTTTTTACAAAAAAATATTATAATATATTATAAAATGATATTTGTTACTTGTGCGACTTATATGTGTTATATTATAGTAATTTCTATAACTTATATCATATAACTACATTGAATATAAATATATAATTGACAAATAATTCTATTTTTAGAATTTATATTAGAAAATAATTTTATTATTGTGATGAAGATAATATAATTTATTCTTTTTATACATACAATAAAAAGTTATTAACTTTTAAAGAAAACAATTCTTTTTATTCTTTTTAAATCGAAGTTCATCAAGAGATTATTAATTTGATATATTATATATGTAAAAGTGATAAAAAATACAAAGTTATTAACTTTGAAAATATTCAAGTCTAATAACAAAAGTTATGACCATAAATAATCAACATAATTATGGATAATTCCGAACCTAATTAATTTTGAATTAGAAGTAAATTAAAATTTACTTAAACCTAATAATGAAGCATGTAGTTTTGCCATATAGAATCACGAAACATGTGAGTCTGCCACATAGACTCAACACGTTCTAAATTAATAGACAGAAGGATTTTATTTTATTTATTTTTATTATTTATTTATTTTTCGTGCACCAAAGCGATTTGAGAGTTTGATCCAACAAGTTTTTATCTACACATTAATAAGAGAAGTCACCTGTCAACAAATTTAAATTCATGATTTTTATCAATGTTGTGGTTCAATACAAAACCCCATCATTATCACTATTTTATTGCTGATACGAGATAAGGACAATATTATTGTCCTGTTACAAACTGATTCGTCGGGTTTGAAATCGTTAAATCAAATAATTGATTTAACGGTTTCAAACTATAAAGAATGATTTCGTAACGGGATCGTAGCATTTCTCAAAACAAATTAAATAAGAATAAAAATAAAAAAGGCAAGAGTGTCACGTGCATGATCACGTGTTTCTCTAGAAGGATCCCAAACCCACAGCTTTGATTAAAACAATGGATATATAAATTAAATAAATATGGTACATTTTCAAAGTTAGTCGCATGATTTTTCATTTTTACTTATTAGGTGTTTGCAATAGACACGAACCAAACTATGCGGAAAGTTTTGGCTCGTTTAGTTAACGAGTTTTGGCTCGACTCTAGAAAAACTCAAGTCCGAGATTGAGTGTCAGAAACTCGAATTCAGCTCGTCTCAACTCGCTTACATTTCAGGCCGAAGTCGACGTTTCCAACTGAGTTGTGTACTTTTTCATAATTATATTATTATCAAGGTTTTAAATAGCGGGCTAAAACGTTTATGGCACTGTAGCAATAGCGGAGCTATAGCGGAGATTTAGCGGGATTTAGCGGCTAAATTGCACATGAATACAAATAGCGGCACGCTGCCGAAAAAAGCTATTTCTCAAATAGCGGCAACTTTAGCGAGCTATTTATTTCCTTGATTATTATAATCTATAAAGGACCAAAAATGCTATTACCCAATAGATGCATGACCAAAATGAAATTAAGTTATTCTCCTCCCTCCATATATTATACATCGACCTACCCCCAAGCCCATCGCACTGTGTTATTCAGACGAACACGTTGGTAGCTTCGCCTACTTTCTCCATTCAAAAGTTCCTCACCAAAAACAAACAAAGAAGGTGATTGTATCTATCTGTTTATCGATTTATTGTGGCTGTTTGGATCAGATCTGATGCGTTTACTGTTTGCTGATTGTGGATTTGGCTTTTTGTTTCCGATTCTGTTTTTTTTTTTGGGGGGGTAAAAACAGATATGGGCAGCTCTGGATTTTCATGGAAGCTGAAGGATCACCCCAAATTTCCCAAGGGAAAACCCGTAGCGGTCGTGGTTTTGGACGGATGGGGCGAGGCAAACCCAAATCAGTACAACTGCATCCACGTGGCCGAGACTCCCACCATGGATTCGCTCAAGAAGGTATACTGTTCTGCACTCTGTTGATTTAATTTCGAAGATGTTTCGATTGTTGATCTGTAGCGGGTTTGCTGTGTGCGTGCGTCTGCGTGTGTTCCTTTTTAATTTGGGGGCAAGAAGACGACTGTGATTGAACTCGTTGTTGATGTTATTTCTGGTGAAGGGAGAGCCGGATAGATGGAGATTGGTGAAGGCCCACGGGCCAGCAGTAGGGCTGCCCACAGAGGATGACATGGGTAATAGTGAGGTTGGTCACAATGCACTCGGTGCTGGCAGGATTTTTGCACAGGGGTGAGCTGAGCTTGCAGTACTTCTTTTGAATTTTTAATTGGTTAAGTTAATGTATATAGAAGATGAGTAAGAAAATCAAGTTTTAGATTTGCCATCTTGTTGATTTGTGATTCTATATGCTATATTACTTCCAATACTTTGAACCCCCTGCTGTGTTGATTTGGTACTTATTTATTTATTTGGGCATTTTGTTCAATTTATGGTTGGTTTTTTATTCCATTTGTCGATTAGACTGATGTAAATAAATTGTTGTGTGCAGCAGGGAGGAAGGTTTTGTTTCATATTATATTGTCCTGTGTGTTCCTTCCTACTAAATTGCCTGCGCACCATAATGCAAACTTCGTGCAAATTAGGAAATGGGTCAGATTATATTACTCTTTATAGATAAGTGTAAATGTTTAACGGGTTGCTTTATGTTGGATTGTGCTGATTAATCTTCCTCTTAATAATGTCAAGAGTTAGAATCCTAAGTTCAATTTTGTTGAAGTTGATTGATTAACCCTTTCTTGTATTTCGTTTATTTTCAAACTGCCTCTCTGTTTTTAGCAGCAAAGTGGTTCAATATCTTTTAATCTAACTAGTATTTGGGAAAGATCACCGATTCACATACAAATAGAAACGCTGCTGTTTTTTTTTTTTTCCTTTTTCATTTTAAATAATATTTTGCACCATTACAAGGTTTCTGTAAACACTTTATCCTGTCTCTTTTTGTATACAGTGCAAAGCTTGTTGATATTGCTCTTGAAACGGGTAAAATATACGATGGAGAAGGTTTCAAGTACATCAAAGAATCTTTTCCGAATGGGACTCTTCATCTCATTGGATTATTAAGCGATGGAGGTGTCCACTCGAGGCTTGACCAGTTGCAGGTATCTCTTACTACTGGAGTTTTATCACAATTTTCGGCCGTCCACATGCTTTTCTTTTCTTTTTATACTCGTCTCTTTATGCCTTCTTAACTTTTGTGATCCTGTTGTTTTTTATTGATATTTTAGCATATAAGATAAACTGATTGCATGTCTTATATTTTGGATACAGTTGCTTCTTAAAGGTGCTAGCGAACATGGTGCCAAAAAAATCCGGGTTCACATCCTTACTGATGGACGTGATGTGTTGGACGGCAGTAGTGTGGGCTTTGTCGAAACTTTAGAAAGTGATTTGGCAAAGTTGCGTGAGAAAGGCGTTGATGCGAGGGTTGCATCCGGTGGGGGCCGCATGTATGTTACGATGGATCGTTATGAGGTAAGATTTTTCGTATTTCTTTTATGGAAGGATTTGTGGTAGACCATCTGATTCTGATGGATGATATCCTGTCATATGGATTACAAATGGCACATTTATTTAGTACTTAAGGTTTTGTCAGTTTCTTCCTTAGACTAAATCCTTATTTTTGTGGAATCTTGAAATATACTCACGCGAGAAATGTGTTTATGGCCTTCCATAGAACGACTGGGACGTAGTCAAACGAGGTTGGGATGCCCAAGTGCTTGGAGAAGCACCCCACAAGTTTACGAACCCCGTTGAGGCTGTGAAGAAACTGAGAGAGATCCCCAACACAAATGACCAATACTTGCCCCCGTTTGTTATTGTTGATGATAGCGGAAAGCCCGTTGGGCCTATTGTAGATGGCGATGCCGTTGTCACATTCAACTTCCGGGCAGACCGTATGGTTATGTTGGCCAAGGCACTCGAATACGAGGACTTTGATAAATTTGATCGGGTTAGGTTTCCCAAAATTCGTTATGCTGGGATGCTTCAGTATGATGGTGAGCTCAAACTCCCGAGTAAGTACCTTGTTTCGCCACCAGAGATCGATAGAACGTCTGGGGAGTATCTCGTGCATAATGGAATCCGTACTTTTGCTTGTAGGTAAGCTGCTGGCAGCTTAATCTAGTAGAAGTTTGTTTGAGTTACTATAACAATCCATTACATATCAGTGCTATTCTTGGTTTGATGTCTACCATGGACTAACACTTTAGGGGCTACACTTATGGTTGAACTTTCACTTTATTTTTTATTTGGGATGACCACAAACACTATTATTGGGATTTAACCTGATGACAAAAACTTTCAGTCCACCTTTCAAATCTCCAATTTGCATCTCGTGAAGATAAAATTTCTTAAATAATTACAAAATTTCTAGTAGGTATTTGTAATTTTAGAAGATTAGAGCTTAACTGTGCCGATTATATCATCCTGACTCAGAGTAGCCTCATGCAAATATGTGCAACTAGCGGCCAAAATTATCTAATCTAGGGCTGAACAATGTTGCATGCCTTTTCCTTATGACAGTTCAAATGTTGAATTCATGTGCATTACTTTTGTTCGTATGGGCTCTTTTGTTGCACTATTTCGTCTATTTTTATCTATTTTTGTGAGGCTATGCATTTTCAGCCTGTTTACTTTCATCATTGTTGTGCTGTGTTGCAGTGAAACAGTTAAATTTGGTCATGTCACATTTTTCTGGAACGGTAACCGTTCTGGGTACTTCAACCCACAAATGGAAGAATATGTTGAAGTACCAAGTGACAGTGGAATAACCTTCAATGTCCAGCCGAAGATGAAGGCACTGGAGATTGCTGAGAAGGCAAGGGATGCCATCCTTAGCCGCAAATTTGATCAGGTAATTTATAGTGTCCTATTCTCTTTTTATTTCTTGTCAAACATAAAAAATCTTGGTTGCAAATATGATTTATTTAAAGTCTTTTGTTTACTCTAAAGGTACGTGTCAACCTACCGAATAGTGACATGGTTGGACACACTGGTGATATTGAAGCAACAGTTGTGGCTTGTAAGGCCGCTGATGAAGCAGTGAAGGTACTAATCTGGAATTTGGTTTCTTTCTCTTTCTTTCTTTATTTCATTTTTTCCCCTCAGTATTCCTAATCTAGAAGTCCTTTTTACTTGTATTATTGATTAGATCTCACAGATCTGTGGTAGGCATTCTTGCGATATATTCAACCTTCCCACTTGAATTCTAGTTTTCTGCACGACCTAAAAAATTCAAAACCGATATATTGTATGTTTATAAAATGTTATTTGTTTTGCGGCAAAATCTATCCCTGAACCAGCAGCAGATAATATACAATTCATATGAATTTCAAAAGTTCTTTACAGTTAAGCACACTCCCATAAGACTGTCCCTGAAACCAAAACCAAAAGTACAAGAACACATAAAAAACGTAAAAAAATCATATATTTTTTATTGTAAACATGAGATCAATTGATAATATTAATATCCACTATTTGTGTTCATTTTAATAGATGATCCTGGATGCAATTGAGCAAGTTGGCGGAATATATGTTGTCACTGCTGATCATGGAAATGCTGAGGATATGGTGAAGAGAAACAAGAAGGGAGAACCACTTCTCGACAAGAATGGCAACATTCAAATCCTAACTTCTCATACTTTGCAACCTGTAAGTAATATATTCCTTGCCTTTATTTGGTTATATGGAGTGTATACCATAGATTATCAGAGCTATAAAGATACCCGTGCACTTAAATACTACATCAGCTTTAGGCTTTCAGCCGTTGCATTGACATGTTATGGAGTAGATCGCTGGATGTGAACCACTTAGGGGGCGATTGGATAGATTTAATTGGGTATGATCCAAATTGGTGAATTAAAGTGAGTTATTTTGAACAAATTAGATTTGGAATTAAATAATATATAAAATGTGATGATTAAAGTTGATAAGGTGTAAAAGTAAAAGAGGGATTATAGGAAATGACAGACAGTTAACATATGTGAGTAGATGAATAGTGAATTAAAGTTGATGTAATGTGTGAGAATGATTGTTTGATATTATTTAAATATATTTCTAAAAAGTATGAGAGTTGGGTTGAGTTGTATTTTGAATTAGGTGATTGGGTATGAAATGGCTCAACCAGTGATAACCGGTTGAGATGGATCATAACTCATATCCAATCACCCCTTATACAAAAGTAACTTATAAGGTCTATGCCAATTATGATCAAATCACTAGCTTTCAGAAGTACAAATCACTCGTTGATCATCTGTCTTACAGTTGCACCCTCAATTTAGGAGTATCTGAAAAACCCCAAGTATAGACATCGAAGAAGTGCAATAATTTAAGGAGATATTTGTAATTTTGAATCATAGCTTGATTCTTTTGTAATTTGGCTAAATCTCAAGAGTCTCTTATTTCATTTACTATTTTTTTAGTATTGGATCAAAAGTTTCTCGTTCACATTACATTTCCATTTTAGGCTGCTGACGTTACTCTATCTAGACAGGATTTTAAGACTACTAAAAAAAATAAAAATAAAACTTCTCCGGAGGTTTATTAAGTTACAAAACACCCTTATACCTTTCAAAATTAGCAATCTCTTCAAATGTTACCCAACACAGCCTTGACACTTGTATTTATCTGACTAGTTTTTGTGAGAAAATAGATAATGCTAAGGATATTTGTAATCTTCAAATTGTACACTTTCCTCATTATTTTTTAGTCATACTATTTTCACTATAGTCTTTGATTTCTTATTAGTTTTTGTATTTTAAGCTTTGGATGTTTTAGTATAATTTGTGGTCCTAATACATCATAACTTTTCGTGTAGGTCCCGGTTGCTATCGGTGGGCCTGGGCTAGCACCTGGCGTGAGATTCCGCAAAGACGTACCTACTCCTGGGCTGGCCAATGTGGCTGCAACTGTTATGAACCTGCACGGGTTTGAAGCCCCGACCGATTATGAGACCACTTTAATCGAGGTCGTTGACAATTAATTAGGCCTCTTAACCGGGTCGCGCTTCGAAATTTTGCTGAGGAAATGTGTTTTCCGGGAAAAACTATTTTGATTATTTAGAAGAAATACTCTTATCTATTTGCTCCTATTACTATGATATAAGTACCCTAAAGCTGCAGCACACTATGCTTTAGAGATTGAAATAATTGATTATTAGAACTGAGAAGTCTTTACTATGCCTGCAAGAAGAGTGTGTTTTGTTTGTGTGTGTCTGAGACACTGAATGCAACCAATATTTGGTTGCTTGAGTTATAGTACTGTTTAATTTAAATTATGGCATCTATCATTTGCTATGCTTATTTGAAGGAAGTAGTATTACTAAGCAACCATACTTTTCAATAGATATTATTACTTTCAGATTGAAATTTCATTTTTAAAAAAGAATATAAATAAAAGTTTATATAGCATAAATTTGTATTTTTGTTTAAAAAAAAAAAAAGAGATTGGCTTGTCTAAGAAAAGAAAAAAAAAAAAGATTGACCTTTAGGTCAGTTATATCATTGTGTCTAATAAATCATACTAACCACATTTGAAAATCATGATGCAGCTTTATTTATATTTATTTATACATTGGTAAGGTTACAATTAATCTGACGGTTAATTAATCATATTTTTAGGATAAATGTTTGCATTTTCAAACTGAATTTTGGGACCTTCTCTTCCATATATTCAAGAATGAGAATTAACATATAACCTACTCATTGTGGATATATAATTTGCGGAAATACTACAGTACTGTTGCGAAATTATTCTGTTGGGTTTACAAATCTCGACAGAATGGTTTCGAAACCATATAGTATCTCCCTATAACGAATTAGGATAAGTGATTCAAACTGGTCCCACAGTAATCGTACTGTTGCGAAATTATTCTGTTGGGTTTACAAATCTCGACAGAATGGTTTCGAAACCATATAGTATCTCCCTATAACGAATTAGGATAAGTGATTCAAACTGGTCCCACAGTAATCGTATCTACCCAATAGGCCGCACAAAAAGAATCCCTCACACTTTCCGAAGCAAGTTTCTTGCTTTTGCTGCTGCCTAATATTAGAAAAAGAGTGCCTTTTCGCCTTTCTCCACTCCCTGCGGTTGGTTTTCCTTTTCTTCTGAAGTCGTCTCTTTTCAAGTTTATACCTTTCGAGGGGAGGGGTAAACTGACTGATTGATTACTAGTTTACGCCGATTTCATTTGTTTTATGCAGCGATATTTTGTTTTCATGGGTTACATTTGTTGTCTCTCTAACTTGAATCAGCCCTTTTTTTTTTGAAGTGTGCATTTTCTTTCTTCGTGTCCTTAGTTTTGCTTTGCTGTTATGAGTAAGTTATTTTCTGGGTTTCGTTCAATTTGCTGTCTTTATACCTTACTTTCTTTTATTTCCCCTTTTTTTTTTTGTTGGTTTTGGTGGGGTGGGTGGGTGTGTTAGATTTATCAAGAAGTGTTGGCATACATTGATTTATGTTCATAGCAATTTTGCTTAGCGGTTTAGTGTTATTTTTGTCCATTTTACCTGCACTTGTATGATGCTATGCATAAATCATTTTGTGTCTGTTAGTGTTGTTGCTTGTTTTGTCTGTGTTTTCACCGTGTTGTATATTTTTGCCTTGAAAAGATTGTTTATGTCATTAGGGGAAAAAGAAGAAGATAAAATAGCTACTTGTGCTGTGTTATTTGAACAGTTTTTGGTGTAGATAGACCCTTATATATCCATGAGTGCTGTTTAATCTCTAATGTTTGAGGGATTGAACTGTGAATTTGATATGTGCTTCTCAATAGAAAATTGTGTGACTGATGAAGGTTTCGAGGTTGAGAATCAATCGGGATAAATAGTTCATTTCGTTTAAATGGGATTGAAAAAAAGATTGACCTGTCATTTTTAACTGGTATAATAGTAGTAGACTAGATATAGTTTGCTGGTCTTGGGGTATGCCATAACTAAGAATAAAGTGTCATGGAAGAAAAAATCTCATTCGGATTTCGAGCATCCAATCGGAGTTTATATGGGTGAAACTATTTGCAATTGTTGATCCAAATCTTTGACATTGCATTTTTGTAGGAAAATGCCTGAGGGAATTACAGCAGAGGCTCTTATGAACAATATCATGGACTCAATTTCTGATAGTGTATCAAAGAACAAACATGTCTCTTTTTTTGAAGAGGAGAAGTCGAATTCCGTAACTTCTCAGTTCAACAGATTGTTCGGGCGCGAAAAACCTGTCCATCATCTCTTGGGCGGTGGCAAATGTACGATTTTCTTTGTGGTTAATTACGTAAATGTTTCCTTGAGGTTTAGTCTAATTACAGACTCCCCCAAAGATTTGTTTCCGTATTTAATATTACATCCTCTATCCTATTGACTCCTTGTTGTACATTTCGATTTTGGCTTCATTTGAGTTTTTATCTCATTGTTTAAGATCATTCATTCACTTGAACATGCAGCTGCTGATGTTCTATTGTGGAGGAACAAGAAGATCTCAGCTAGTGTTCTGACTGGCGCAACACTCATTTGGGTGCTATTTGAATGGCTCAATTACCATTTTCTAACACTTGTGAGCTTTGTGCTGGTTTTGGGTATGCTTGTTCAGTTTGTTTGGAAAAATGCTTCTGGCATAATAAACAGGTACCTCCTCTATCAAAAAACTTGCAATCGGGCTTTCTGGTTGTGGCTTTCTTTCTAGAAAACTATTCGATAAATTTGTAATCGTTCAATGGCGATAGGTCTCCATCCAAAGTTCCCCGTCTTGTTTTGCCGGAGGAGTTTTTTGTCAACATTGGAAAGGGGATAGGGTATGAGGTGAATCGTGGTTTAAGCTTCTTGCAGGATGTTGCATGTGAAGGAAATA